CCTAAAGGTGCCCATACACCTTACGACCATCGCAAGACTTTTGTCTTGCGATGGTCGTATGCTTCTTGAAAGCCCGTACGATCTGCCCACCTTGGACGGGCAGATCGTACTTGCGATCATCGAAAGCCCGCCCCGCTGAGGGGCGGGCTTCCGATGACGGCAATGCAGAACGGGCAGTGTGCGTGTGCGCACACCGGCCCGTTCCGCAGCTATCGGACGAGCAGGCTAGAAACCCGCTCGACAAAAGACGTGCGACCGTACAGTAGAAACGGTCACACGTCTTAGTTCACACTGCTCGATTCTCGTACGATCGCGGGATTTCGCCCGATTCTCGTACGAGAATCGAGCAGTGTATGGGCACCTTTAGAGCTTATACATCTTGAAGTTGGACTATATGTATAAATGGTGATTTGGTTAAAATACTCACTTGCCTGATAATTGTGCACACAGTGTATGGACCTCTAAGAATTACTATATAACAAAGCCAGTATAGCTCAATCATAGTGTAAGCGCAGATGCTACAACAGAAAACTAAACGACCTGGAACAATTTCAATCTGTGTTTTCTCATCAACCATCTAGAATATCAGCAACATCTGCTAGAGCGTTTTGTATCTTGAAACACACTTCTACTCTACCCAAGGTGTAAAGGTATGTTTAATAGGCTTCAAAGGGGAAATAAACCACAACATTTCTCGTCCACTTAAACCCAATTTACTGCCATCTTTGTATTTCCTCCCCAATCATGCTGCATCAAGTGGGATAATAAAATGGTCTCTTGCAGGTTCAGTGAAACAGTGGAAAGGGTAGACACATTATGAAACATGAGACATTGTGCTGAGCCCTCTTTATTTCAGTCAAATACCTTTTTAAAGTCACTATTTAAAAAATGACTCCTTGGAGAGTAAGGTTTCTATTTTATGAAGGCAGATGTCCTGACGCAGTACAATGCTGACTGCTGGCTTGGGCTCTTTGGTCCTCGGATCTATTGCTGTAGCAACCAATCAAATTCTCTTCTTGATTTTTCTTATACGAGTTAATAAAATGAAAGCTCAACTCTACCTTCCCCCTTCTGGATGCCCCTTACTGCCTCATTTATTTTCTATACTTACTTTTTTGATAAGTCTTCAGGCTGGCCTTTTCTCCAGTGCTGGGCAGCCCTCGAAGGCAGTTGCTGACGTGACACCATCTGCCGTGACAGGGGAGGGGCTGGATTCCTCCCTCCCCGCCAGCGCTGACTGGCGGAACGGACGGGGGAGGGTACAGCTGGCTCTGCCTCTAGGTAGGCAGAGCCAGCTGTCAGTCACGCAGCTGGGCGGATCCAGACATAATTGTCGGGATCCACTTCAGCTGCGGCGTCTTAGTATACCGCAAGCAGTAGCTCGCGGTATACTGCGGCGTCTCAGTATTCCCGCGAGCTACAGCTCGCAGTATACTGAGCCTAGGGTGACGGGAGGACGTTAGTTTGTGTCCTCCCGTTACCCTAAGGAGAACTATGGGGAAAAGCCTTAACCCCATAGTTCTCCTTTAAGCCCAAAAGAGGACCAGTGCCAGATCGCAAAGTTGGTGAATGAGCGATGGACAGCGCTGGAGAGGAGGTTAGTACTGGATGTTGTAAACCTCCATTTAAAAAAATAATTTCACCCCTATGGTTACAATAACAACAAGCACACCTTTAGCAATGTTTAGTAATGACAATCTACAAACAGGTATTTCCAGATAATTGCAGGCTTTTGTTTTCTTTGCATACCTATTTTTTTCCTCTCCATATTGCTCACAGTGCCCTTTTTCACTATGGGCAGATGACTCTCCCTTTACTTCCTGGAACTGTGGCACATGTGACCATGCACATCATCATAGGTGGAAAAAATGCATTTTCCTGAGATCTCGTGAGATTTTGCAGCTTACAGATGAAAATTTCCCAGCAATGCACTTCTGATGTATCCTTCCCAGGATGCATTCCTTAGGCCCAGATTACACCACTAATGCCTAGGAGCAATACACATTTGTAAGTCCGGCTTTATTTGACCTTTAGCTACCCGTTCATACATCTCCAGTTCTCAACTCTATTAATTATCTATGTGTTTTACTGTAATTAAGTTGCTTTTGTAGAAAGATGATTACACTAATGTATAAGAAAATAACAATCAGTTAGACATCAAACACACCAATACTACAAAGTGCAGAAGGCAAAAGGGACACGTTACATCCCTTAAGGAGAATATACATAAGATCCAGATCATATTTGATATCTGTCAAATTGAGATCTCATTCAATTCAATAATGTGTTGGCATTAAAGGAGTGTCTGCTAATAAAACACTTCAACCCTCCTTCACACCCCTCAGCTGTTTTGATTTGGTGGAGGCTGGCTCAGCAACACCAGTCTAGATGGTCAACAAAAAAAAGGCTGATATTGGCAGCTGGAGCTCTCGATTACCATCGTTGTTATGAAGGAACGCTGAATTATTTATGAGAGCCAGTGATAGGACTACTCTGCAAATAAATTACTCTTCACAGCACTCAAAGAACAGACAAACTACAGACCTCTTGTAAAGATTCTCTTGCATCTTGGCTGAATATATAAACTGTATCTCACGGCTTTGAGTCTGTTGGCAATATTGTATTATATACAACAGAGCTGGGTAATGGAATTGAGTTTCAGACAGGATATAGAAAGGAACTCTTGCAAGTTCATGTAGCACATTATGACCTCACACTGAGACCTTTACTCACTAATATATATATAATTAAACTGATGAATATATGACTAATTACCCCAGAGCTATTTGTACATTCAGCTATGGCTGATGGATGTCACATTGTCAGGTGGACGAGGGCAACCTTGGGGTCCTGGCTGGAACTCTGGGAGCAAGTAGGCATCAGAAACACAGGGTGCAGATAAGTCTTGAAGGGCACAGGGGTTCTGCTTCATGCAAATGTGTTGCTCACCGTCTCTCCTGGTTGTGTCTGTTCTCTCTCTCTCCTGGCTGTCTCTCCTCACTCTCTCCCTCCTGGCTGTCTCTCCTCACTCTCTCCCTCCTGGCTGTTTCTCCTCACTCTCTCCCTCCTGGCTCTCTCCTCACTCTCTCCCTCCTGGCTGTCTCTCCTCACTCTCTGCCTCCTGGCTGTCTCTCCTCACTCTCTGCCTCCTGGCTGTCTCTCCTCACTCTCTCCCTCCTGGCGGTCTCTCCTCACTCTCTCCCTCCTGGCGGTCTCTCCTCACTCTCTCCCTCCTGGCGGTCTCTCCTCACTCTCTCCCTCCTGGCGGTCTCTCCTCACTCTCTCCCTTAGCTGTCTCCCCTCAATCTCTCCCCAGCTGTCTCTCCTCACTCGTCCCCAAGGAAGAAGAAATCATGCCTAGTGGCCCCCATGATATTTGAGTTCAAGACCATGCTGTATACTCAGTGATCGTGCAGAACTGGTCAGAACCCCCTGCCTCCCCCCCACCTCTTCCTTTGTTCCTCTGAACTACAAGTGTGCATGTGGAAGCTTGTGATAAGAGGTAAGACTGCTACTCATCCATGAGAGAACAGAGCATTGGCATGAGAGTGCAGGAAGAGATATAGGTATTTAAGGGATTTTTAAAGTGAAAGTGAAGCTAAAAATAAACCGCATGTGGTGACACAGGTCTATAAAGACAGAACAAGGTTTAGGACTTCAGTTGGGCTTTCAGAAGTAAACAAAAGAAAAAACACCCAATGATTGTCAGTCTAAAGAAAGGACTGGATCATTACCAAGCAAAGCAGCATTCAACCATTAAACATTTAACAGTCAACAAAATGATTTGAAATGAGAAAAAAAAAGGATTTTTTTAATTGAAAATTGTGCATAACATCTAATTAATGGAGTTATTTTGCATTTGATTTAACCATACATGTAAATAAATTATGTTTCATGGAAAATATTAAAAATAATGCATTACATCATAAAACATACTTCCGTTCCGGTCTACAAATGCAGAATGTGACGCATTTCACTAGAGAATTTCATTCATTCCTTCACAGCCAAAATGAGTGCTGGTATCTTAGAAATTAAAATATACTGCAATTTGTTTTTCCATGCCTCTGTGATGTCACAGCTTGTTAAGATGATGGGTCAGGTTCATAGGGTGAGGGCTTCCATAGAACCACAGGCATAAAAATGAAAGCCTCCCGTAAAACCAGCCTAAATGAAGATTGATACTTTTATTTAACAGAAGTTTTTAAATACCTGCACATATTTTGCATTCAGGATATCTTCTGACTTCATTCTAAATCAAGTTGCCATGCTGTGAGTTGGAACTACCAGGTGGTGAACGTGTGATGCCGCTAAGTTGTGGGAAGGACAGTCCTCGGTAATGCCCATAGCTTACACTGTGAGGGATCAGACAGAGTGTGTCAGTGCAGTGGTTCACCTAGGTCTATATGAGCCTCAGCTAGTGTTACCAGAATATAAAATTGGGCGAGCCATTTCACCATGGTGTCACTAGGTGGCTGGCTGCATACCACCACCAACAGCAATGCAGAACAAATACTACGAGCATCTCTAATAATATAGACTTTGTTCAGCTTGGAATTCCGATTTAAGAACAAACCAATAACTGAGATCTGGGTCACGTGGGCGAGGTCGGCAGTGGCTTCAGAAAATTTAGGACTGAGTGATCTGTAACGTTTCCAACATGTTTTCTACGGCTTTCAGGGATGTTTGAGTATCTGGCATGGTCCGACCTGCAAGCTGAAATACAAAAGAGAAAAATGATTCTTTAGATCACAGAACGAAAACTCACAAAATTACATTGATGTTTTTTTTCGGAGCACCCTAAAAAACAAACCTGATCCAATTCTGGTATTTCACATTCATGGCTGAACTCCGGGCAGGTTTGAAAATCACCATTTATTCCAGTTAAGTGTTCATTAAAAACCACAACAATGAACGTCTTTGCTCCCTTTTGAGCTGTTAAATATACCACTGGAAGTGTGTGGTTATATTTGTGCGATGAAACACTTGATGGCCCTGTAAAATTTCAGTCAGCTCATTACTTCCTGTTGCGAGCCAACAACTGGACTTCTGCTGCCCTGAAATCTCAAGCAATGTTACTAGCCCACAAGGTTCTCCTCTTTGGACTACAAAACACCCCCACCCTATATTGATATATACATATATGAGGATATATGAGGATGAGGATGGAGGTGCTCTGTGGTTCCAACACTTCCTGACCTAGGAAGACCTTGCTGCTTCTCTATAGATACAGTACAGTGAATACAAGGCACCTTAAGGCAGGAAAGTGTGTTACTGGCAGAATCATCAGGTGAAAATAAAAAGGAAAAAAGCCTTGGAAGAGAAAACGAATACAAACGCCATATCGAAGGAATGGTAAGCTGCAAATGTACTACATTTTGGGGGTGTTTAAATACATTAAAAGTATAAATTTTAAAGAACTTCAGAAAAGAAAATGAACCCCGTCAGTGGGTCTACCCTCACAATTCAAGGTTTAACTGCTTGTTTTTGTCTAGGTCAAAGAAAAAAAAAGTTATACTCACCCGAACCGTGAAGCTGGCTTGCTCTTAGACCGGCCCTTTCCAGCCTCTATCCCCCTCCTCTGCGGTGGTCTAAGGTCCTGTAAATGGTCACATTCTATACACAGTGTATTGATGTGAGGATGCCGAGGAACATTCCAATGCTGCAGCATAGCAGAAGAGAGGCTGGAGGGAGCGCTGTGACAGCTGGACGGCTCGGAGCTTCTGGCAAGTATAACTGTTATTTTTGAACCTAGACATGAGCACTTAACCCTTGCAGCGCAGGGAAAGCCCAACTGCAAGGGTTAATAAACGTTTTCCTGGTGTTCGTTAAAGCATAAAAACTTCTTATTTAAACATTTTACTTAATAGCCACAAAGGATATAAATCCAAACCCAGTTATTTTCTTGTAACAGTAGCAGAGCCATCACCACTGTGGTTCACATAACCTGTGCAGAGATGTGCAGGCCTTACCCACTACAGGCTGCCTGCAGAAAACTACAGGAGGGGGCGGGGACCAGACCAGTCACCCTGCACATAGAGCAGCAGTGACCGGTCTTTATTACAGGAAGCTCCGAGTGTCACACTGGATTACTGTACAGATCTGGGGGGAAAAAAAATACACAACGCTCACCGAAATCCAAGTAAGGATGCACATGGCCTCTTATATTTAGATAATATTTGCTGATCCCGGAGTTCAGCTTTAACTAGGTCAGTCAAGAGCCAAAAATAATTCTCACATTTAGCATATTTTAAACTTTTTAATTAAGGCTTACTTTTATATA